AGAAGAGATGAAAGTTGTCACTGCAAAAGGCTACATTAGCAGCAAACCTCCTTCAAAAAATCTGAATAACTAAAGCTCATACGAAATATAATTCCACCTTCTTATGAAGAGTTACTTGGAATCAACTATGTGCTCACATAATTTAGGGGTTTTTATTTGTTTGCTTCTAACACAATCCCTCTTCATTCAGTCCCCAGGCTGGAGGCACAGAGAGGTAGAAGTTGAATTCTTCTAGCCATTTATATACATGTGGCATTTCTTGGCCTTTTAAGTATTTGATTTTGAAACCTATTTAACTTTTTGACGTAGGTGTTTTCGTGGGTTTTGTTGGGGAATGCCAAAAATTTTCTGCATGTAGGGGGGGAAAAAAAATCAGTAAGAGAAACTGTGTGACTGTTGTTCTGTTTTTAACTGAAAGGCCCTCCCTCTATGTCTATACCACCAGTCAAACTTAGTAGCACAAGCTTCTTATTCAGCTTTGTTTTGACAAAGAAAGATAAACCACTGTTTTGCTTTGCCCTCCCCCCACCATTTACTCAGTGGTTTTATTTAGTTTGGTATTCCCTGCTCCTTGGAGGGGAAAACAAACATATTTTGAAAAAATCATTATTTTTAACCTTATTAAGTTGTTGACTATGTATGTTCTTATGAAGAATTTAAAATAGAATGTAATTATAAATCACTGCTAAAATGAGCTTGTCCTGCAAAGGCAAGGACATTTAATTGTGTCCTTGTATGACTGGAATCACTGTAAACAACTAATATTCCTATTTGCAGGGACAGAAATAACTAGCTCATTCAGCTGTACAGAAGGGAAGACATAAAAGGAAACCAAAGGCTAAACCAGAATAAGCCACTGGAAAGTCTTATGTCAACAAAACTGGATGTAAATTAAGTAACATCAATGCAGTATTTTGACTGTAAATGAACCAGAACATTAAAACAGGTTTTAAAAGGAACATTTGTGATGAAATATCTATGACTAGTTCCTATACCAAATGAATAGGAAAGTTCCTGCTTATTTCTTCTGTGCAGGATCAAACCCACACCGCAAAGTTGTTTCTCTAAGCTTTACTATTACTTTGTAGACCTAAATTTTTAAATTGAGAATTGCAGCAGAACTGCAAAGAGAACACTGGATAAATGACTTATCAGTCACACACAATGGAAAATGACATAATTAGAGGTTGCATCATACCACATAGGCGTGAAGGAGTAAAATTGAAATTACACAGACAATTTCCATTCTTATGTTTTCCAATTTTCTGAGTGCTTGACTTTGCAACTTAAATCTCTTTCATGATTGTTTTTTTCTGACATGGAATTGCAGATACGTGAGTAGATTTTAATGATCATTACTTTGCCTTACTCAGTGGCAAAAGTGAAGAAAACCCAAACAAACCAACCCTAAGCTCAAACCAAAGTGCATTTCTAAGCTATTGGAAATGATGGGGGATGAGTCAGGAGTCCCCTTGCTTTAAAATCAACAGAAACACAGCAGAGCTATTCTCCAGTGAGAGGAAATAAGGAAATAAACTACACATTCAACAGCTATGACACACCCTTTCCAAATAAGAACAGAGAATTCATTTAGCCAGTAATTTTACAACCATGATAACAAATTAAAACTGGGAGCAGACAGCTGAGAACCAAGAAGATGCACAATCCACAGCAAGGATCAGCCAAATTAAAAGGAACTTTCTACATTGTCAATTTTTGAGTAATTAGTACTTCCATTAGAGGCACAGTTCCAGCCTTAAGCAATTCTAAGTAATTACTGTTCCTCTATTTTGCCTAGAAGTCCTGACTTCAGCATTCTCTTAGGATATGAATTCTTCTAGCAAGAGCTACACAATACAGATTAACTCAACTAGAAGACAATTAGAGTGGGCAGATGAAGATGCAATTTGTCAGTCTGCACACACTGTTACTTCTAGCCTTGGATGCAATTTTTATTAACACAGTAGACAGATACAAATGGAGGCAGAGACATGGTTTTGTCCTATCTTTATCCATACAATTTCCTAAGGTACAAGTAATGTTGAGATCTGAAAATTCTACATGACCAAATGACAAAGTGAAGGAAGTGCCAGATTATATCTTCCTGTGCAGCTTCAACCAGCTACAGGAATTCAATAACTGATTATACACTTAATAACTTAAAATACATGATGGAGGAAATCTTGATATACTTATTCATCATGTAATGCAAATTCCTAGATTAAAATGCCCAGCTGAGCAGGAAGCAGAAGCTGGCCTGGTGGTGAGCATATGGAAAAAACAGAATTTGATTGCCAGAGATGTTATTGCATTTGCATGCTGTGCTGGGTAAGCTGTCTGGGTGCTCACAATCGTGTCTTTAAAATGGGCCTGAAAATACGTATCTCCCAAAAATGTGTTTGTTTTTATCTTTCATGGGCATTTTGATAATGACTTGTTTGCCAACCACTTGAGGATTCTTAAGAAAAGGGGCAAAGTGAAAAAGCAAAATGCAATTAAGTGTCCTTTCTCATTTGTACTACAACATCAAGCATAAGACAACACTTAAAATATTTCATATTGAGCTTTGAAACCTAAGACATGCACAGTAACAATGCAAAGCAGAAGTTTTACAAGCCTTTTACCCAATTTCGAGACACCACTGACCATTGAACCGTACCATACACCAAGAGACACGTGAGAATATCATACTTTGCTTTCTCTACCAAACACAGCAACAATTACCTGAGTTTTTAACTTCTGAATTTTCCATAGCTGTAAGAAGCGGAGGCCAAAGATCATGCCCTTCACCCAGGAATCTGTAGCACCGAAGGGGAAGTTGGAACTGCAGCTGAGGAAATGGAGAGCAGAGCAGGACCTCATTCACAGAGGTCTTTTACTGCACTGGTGAGAGGCTCTAACTGTTCTTTTCCAAATATTACTGTTCACATGGACTCCAGATTGGCAGGCCTTATGTGCTTTTAATATTGATTGCTATAAAAAGAAATATGATGTTCTTGATCTACAAAGCCTCAATTCTCACAGATTTGTCAATGCTTGCACATGATCAAAACCAAGGTCCAAGAAAGGCAAGTCTTGCCAAATCTGTCAAAAGCATAGAAGGTTCACATCTTTTTCCTGGAAGCTTACCTTTACAATCTTTTTTATAAAGCTCCTCCAAATTATAGTGCAAAATACAGTTGTAAATTCTTGTGCTTCTCAGCTACAAGGTGTATTAAGAGCACAATAAGCAGTCACAGTTTTGTGTGACTGAGAAATCAAAGGTGTCAATTTTCAAATCTCTCTAAAGAGAACACAAATTCTTCTCTGACATCATTTAAGCTGAAAAAAAGACATTTTGAAAACTTCATCTGTGAGAAATTCCTAGTTTTCCTTATGGAAAGAAAAATGTACCAGGTTGTGCTTGGACTGACAATAGTTTTTCCCAGCTGCATATTCTCAGACATAAAATACAAGGTCCAATGATCTTTTACAAGTTCACTAAATGTCAGTATCACTTCTCTTTATTACAGACCCTTTTCACCAACTTTTAAACTGCGAGGTCAGTTTTATATAGCTCTGGGCCTCAAAAAGCTCTAGGCTTTTGCTGCATCCTCTGCAGCCCCCATCCAATCTCTGCCCACGGTAACTGGAACAGTACCTGAGCTGCTGCTGAGGGATTGGCAGCTCAGCGGAGACGCTGGTCACTGCTGCTGAATTCTGCTTACTCCATCATGGTTATTGTGTTAGAGCAGGACACGCTGGTCCCTAGTCTTTGGCTGAAAACATCACCTTCAAGAAGTCAGAAAGCATAAGTTATTTGTTACTAGCAATATATTTCATAATTCTAAAGATTTGCACTAATCCATGACTGTGAAGGCTGTCAAATCCACTCAAATGCTTCTTATTGAAAAATTAGGCCTGCATATCCATAGATCCTCCCCTCTTCCACCCACCCAAATTAAAGCTCTAATTCCCAAAGACAGCCACTCTTCTTAAACACTACACATTTCATACAGTTGTTATTAATAAAGTATGAACAATGTTTGCAGAAACATTAAAGAATCAGGTCAAGAACACTGAACGAATACAAGTGTTCTTAAATAAGCCAATCATCCAATTTTTGAGTAATTAATGTCCTTGTTTTCTGCTTGAAAGCCTCGTATTTTCAGCATGTTCACAGGAGACAAATGTCTCATGTCAAAGCAAATGAACACAAATCAACTCTTTTGGACACCAGTTACAAGAGAAAGACAAAAATGCAATATTGGCAGGCTAGCAACAAAATGTTGCAGCACAGCACTTCTCACCGTAGGGTAAGTTTTGGTGATGACTTCACTACATATAGTCAACGGATTTGGTCTGTTCCCATCTGTGAGTTATCTGAATATCTAAACAATTGCCATAATGCATTTGAAAACTTTAAAATATAAAAGGAAAACTAACAAAGCTGATGGTATCTCCAGATCACCGTGTGAAGTACTAATAAGCAACTGTGTTATACAACCCATGTTCAACAGACTGAAAATGATCTTTCCCAAATTCAAATGACATACTTCTAAAGCTGAAAGTGATAGATTACAGCTGGCTGAGCAAGCACTGTACTGTATGCTCATTTTAAAAGCTGCCATGGTAAAAGACCCTCCAGGCTTTTTGTTGGTTCCTTTGCTGCTCTTATTAAGAACTGCAAAGCTCCTCTTATTGAACAGTAATTACAGGGGGAGGCGGAGAAAAACTAACAAGAAAGAGAGGTTTATTTTCTAAAGATATGCACTTAAGATTACTTTTAATAACACGTCTATGGACCAAATACGTTATTTTTATTTTATCACCTCAAAACAGGATAAATATTTGCCATTGTAAAAACTCATGTGTACAAAATCTGAACACCCAGTATTAGGATACATATAGTATTAGGATTCTTATTAGGAAATATATATTTTTATAACTATTTTATAGTCTCTGTATATGACAACCTATCCTTCTCTCCACCAGGCAACTGTTAAGACACAAAAACAGTCTCAGGACAGCAGCTGCAGAACTTGACGTATGCGCTCACACTTCTCCAAGAGATTCGGGTCTTCTGCATTGGCATCATCAAATTCCTTCATAAAAGCTTCAGCTTTCTGCACAGTTAAGTCTCGTGCATTGCCTTGAAGCCCTTGCAGATAATCCAGTAAAATGGTGAAATACTTGTCTGGAACCTTTAAAGCAAAATCAAGAAGGAAAAAAAAAACCAACTGTTTAACTTTCTTCTCTCTCAATTCTCATTCACAATCACGTCAAAACACCACCTGAAAGATAATTAGGAGAACTGAATGGGCTTTTGTGTTTGCCAATGCCCACCTCCAAGTGGAAGCATTTCTTGCCAAGGTTCAAGCTGCTGGGAGGGATGGACCGTGGTGAGAGGACTGTCATGTGCTCAGATGGGCAAAGCATCTGAGAGGAAATTCTAAGCAGATGTGGAAATGTTGATCAGCAAATGCAAACACTCCCTGACAATGAACTCAAGGCTGAAAGTTGTTGGTATTAAAAAAACCCAACTACCAGCCAAATCCTACTTTTGGAAACACGTATGCAAACCTTACCAAATTCAGTGAGAATTGCATGAACATGCCTGAGGAAAGAATTTTGTGGGAATTACCATCTCCCCTACCCAAATTTATTTGTTTGCTGAGATGAGATACCACCCACCTTCAAAAACTTTGACAGAATACTCATACAAAGGAAAAGAATTCAATTTGAAAAACAAACTGAAATTCAGACATATGGAAAAAATTTTTAAATCATGCTGACTAAAACTGATAGGCTCTACTAACAGGCCTAACATTAAAAGCAGTTTAGTCATCTCCAGTTGCATTACTCCCATTTCACTCCCTTTCTAATTAACTAGTCACAGGTTAAATTTTAGCTTGTCAGGTACAACATACAATCTAAATGAACGTTACATTAAATAATCTTGGCAATAGCCTAGCAAAGGCTTCTGAATTATTTATTTGATATTTCAAACCAATGTATTTTCAAAAGCATTAGGTGCTCAGATCTACACTGAAGCGTTATCTTAACTTTATGTTGTGTATCTGTGGAACAGGTTTCAGCCAGTAAGAATATTTTTGCTGCGAATCAGGAGATGTTAAAATGACCTAATCCTGCAAATATTTTCCTCCATGTTTAACTTTACACATATAACTTGACATGAGTCAAGTTAAACACATACGTAAGTATTTAAAGGACTGGAGACTCATTATTCGAGGGCTGTTTCAATTCTGCAAAGTATCAACATTTCAGAGAAGACAGAGCTTCAACAGATACTTAATTTACAACTTAGTTCTTCATTGACATTTGGCAGCGTAACTTTGATCACTGAAACTTCTATCACTCCAAAAGAAGAGGAAGAAAGAATATTCCAACAGTGCCTTCATCAATCAGGGATACTTCAAAGTAATAAATCAAAATGAAAGTCTGCATTCAGCCTCATCACTTCTACACTATGGAAAACCTTCTAATTCTTCACACAAACACTCTTGCATTAAAGAAACAATACAGATACAAAAAAAATATTTTACAGTCACTAACACTGAAACAGATGATATGTTATGTGTTGCTATAATATACAAATTAAACACATTTAGACATAATGAAAAATGCCTATATTTTTGCAACCTTTTTACTCAGAGTAAGCTGGTACAAATAACAGGCAAAACCATTCAAATACAAGCAATTTGGCATGATAGCGCTCCTTTAATGCAGATGCTCCGTACAGGGTTTTTAAAGCTCAGCAATATTTCTATGTTTCAAACCTTAGCCAAGTTATCTACGTAATTTACACCTCTTGTTCTCAGACCTTGTGGTATAGTCATACCTCACTCTGTGGAATTACAGTTATTATTGTATCATTTAAGCAAAGTGCTTGGAGGGGCAATTAAAAGCTTACTCTAAACGTAGAAATACTAAGTGTGCAGATGGACATGTGGCTGCCTGAAGCCTAGAAAACATGTAGTATTTTGCCCTAAGGATAAGTGCTCAAGTGTTCAGAAAGTCTGACCTTTTTCTTCAATGCAGCTATTAGGTTTATCTCAGCAAAAGCTTACAATACAGTACCAAGGAGGCAAGACAGTATCATATTTCCTCCTAACTTAGACATACAATAGAGCTGGAACAGCAAAAGTGGCAGCAAAACTAATGAAAATCAATTTTAATTATCAAATACAGTAGTACAAGACCTGAAATTTCAGGGACTTTTGGTGTGGTTTTATCGGAAGGAACACTGTCTGTCTTCTAAGATCAGCTTTTGGGCTGGCTTAAAATTGGATATCCAGATCTCCCACCATGGCTCTGGCAAGTGGAATGGGATTTTATTATTATTCTTTTGTTAAACTGCTTTGACATTTTTCTTGTTTCTTTTTCTCTCTCACACACTAATCTTGCCTCTGTTCTCTTACCAGCTAAAATGCACTGGAGCTAACATGGAAATATCCCAAAATAATTACTGTCATCAGGGAAAAAGAGGGGAAGCACTACAGAATAGTAGCAGGAAAAGCACAGTTATCACTTTTAAATTATAATATGTAACTCTGGAGGTTTCGGGCTTTTTAGACTTGCAGATGCCCACCGGTTCTGCAAAACAAATACATGTATTTGCAAGAGAACTTCAGCTTACTGCAGCCAAGCTTGCTTTTCTCAGTCACCTTCTGAGGAAGCTTCAGAAACCCCTCCAGGGCCCTGCAGCCCAGAAGCTGATGTAGTTCCTTTCTAAAAATGCTGTGCCGGATGACAAAGATCAACAAATGATGTAGTGTTTATTTCATATGGAATTCTGAAGCACTATATACACTGCAGGTATACCGGCTTGCCTTGAAAGCTGTCAGCCAACCACCAGATGGATTTTAAAGGGACTTAAAAAAAAGCCTCATGTTGCAAAGGATTTTAAAACCTCAACTTGTTTCTCATAGAAAGAGGCCTATCAGCACAAGAAACTCAATTTGCTCCTTTGCGTGGCTTTTCACTAGGCATCCAAGTGACACCATGAGATCAAAGATGCTGCTCAGGAAGGAAAGAAACTCATGTCTCCTTTTGTATTTTAGTCATGCTTGGATGGATATCCAACAGATTTTGTTCTGTCATGGATAGGAAGTTGAATTGCATATAAAAAATATTCAAAAGAAGACGGCCTGCCCTTCCTACAGTCCTGATGAAGAGACTTCATCATCTGCTTCATTATAAGCACTTGAGCAGTTCCACTGCATCTGAATGCAGATGTGAATCATTATGTAAAGTTCATATTCAATGCATCTCTGATTATTAAAATACAAAATATGTGAATTTATATAAATCATAGCACTTTCAGCAGATTTCAGTGTTGAGAAATAAGGACTTAAGCTGTGTTTTGATACATAATACAAATGCTACTTATGGTTAATTATTTCCCAGTATATCTCAACAAAAAACCCAAAGTAAACAGGTAAAAAACTAAAAACATCATTCGTTCTGGTCTGTAAAACCATTTCTAGATAGTTTTAGAGCATACACTGATTCTGAAAGGTTGATAAAGGCTTTTAGAGGAAAAAACTTAAAAACAGAAGTGCAAACAACCGAGATAGCTACAATCAAATTTGTATTCTGCACCTAATCTTTTTAAAGTATTATATTCTGTGAACACTTGCCCTTCTGAAACTCTGCTTTTAATTATCTGGTTCTCTAAAAGTATTTTTATCATAAAGGTAACACCCTATGTCAGGTGATTGTCTTAAGAGCTGCTGAGTAATTTGGGTCAGGAAGATTAGTAATATTCAAATCCTGAAGTGCACACAAAAAATCAGCAAAACCTAACTGAATGTCAACTAAATGAATCAACAAGAAAGGCCCTGTGCAAATGGCTAGATGTTTGCTCTGTTGAACAACACAATGAATAACTGGAAACCCCCATTCAATACCACAATGGCCAGATGCTTATTGGAAATTCAATCTATGTTGGTTTTTAAGTTATGAAATGAATGGATTTCAGTAATGATGCAAGCTTAGCTTCTGGTTATACTTTATGCTTTTCACAATCAACATCAGGTTTCACTTATATTTTAATGAGAAAGCTATTTTAACATCTTGGTAAGATGGCTGTACATCTTATATGGAGCCAGAGATATCTAAAGCAATATGAGAACCACAATTTATAGTATTGGGTTCCACATTTAGAAATTAAGGATGACTCAAATTCTGAGTAAGATCCAGATTTATATAAAACATTAATCTGCTCTATTTATGCTTGACATACATCAAGTATAAAAATGATATATATAAAGTATAAAATTCTAGTGTACATAGAAGAATGATCACCAACAAAAGAAAAAGATAATTACAAGCAATTAAAATGATTCCAGATTTTAGTTAAAAACAAAAGTAATTGATTTATAAATTATTTTAAAATTATTAGCAAAGTGCATGGCTATTACTGGCAACTTCTGGTTAATAAAAAATAGCTACAACTAATGTATAAAACTTTGTATCGTATTTGTTCTGAGAAGAAGCAGCATTAATACAAACCTTCTCTTTATCATACATGTGCAAGAGAAGCCAGGTTTGTCTTGTCTTTTGAAACTTCCATTCTTCTGGGTTTTCAGACCAGCTGTAGTAAAAAAAAAAATATATTAAATACCATGATTGAAACATTAATAAAATATTTCCTACAACGACTTCATGTAACTTTGTATGCACAACAGAGTTTCATGACACTCTGTGAAACAGATACTAGCATGCATGTTGCGAGAGCGGCAAAAAAGAACACAACGAATGGCTACCTGGCTTCTGTGCAAGAAGTGAAAAGACTGAAGGAAGACATCATGGCCAAAAATGTTACAAATTTTCATTAGAAAGCACTTTTTCCTTGAAGTTAAAAATCAAGTCCCACTCCTCAGCTTTGACCAATCCTTTATGAGAGGTCATTGCCCTCACTTGATGCACAACAATCAAATCCTTACACCAGCAGCAGGGCTACCTGAGTAGGCAGGGAGATGGAGGGGATGAAGAATCGAGTTTGGGTTTCAGTAAGCTGGTATTTCACACCAAATTAACATGAAATTAAGCAGGTTCTAAAGGACGGGAAAGAGAGACTCATGATATACAATCACCTCAACAAAGGCTGAAGCCCATCACAGATGACTGTTCTAGAGCAGAGAAAATTCTTTCTTTAGAAGCATATGTTTTAAGGCTGGGATTTGTCTAAAAGTGTGACTTAGATATTGGTGTTCTCAGGACAGGAAAGTGCTTTTTAGGTCCACTCTCCCCAGGAATTCTGATTCCAATATGTAGCTCAAAACTTCAGGCTGCTTCAATACTGTTAAATTGAGTGGATAAAACAAATTATTAACATCTGCAGATGTTCTTGGACTATTCAGAGAACACATTTTAAATGTGCAAAGTTTTAGCTGGGTTAAAACGTCACATTTACGTATCTCTTCAATATGATTTTAAAGCTGGTATAATCTGTTTCAGATGAAGAAAGAGACCTTTATTTATATAAACAAAGAGCAAGCTAGCAAATCTCACTATAAAGATTGCTTTTTAAAAGAACATGCTTGAAAATTAGCATCTTAATACATACAAAATCTGTCAGTACACCGAAATATCATTTAAAGATCCAGAAGAAAATCTGTGAGGAGAAAAACCAGAAATTTTTACACTTATTTGATTTTTCTCTAAAAAACAAGTCTCCAGAGGGTAGCATGCATGATGCCTTTAATGTTCCAGCTTGTTTTACACAGCAACAGAGAGCAGAGAAATCAGTTGAAAAGCCAGCTGGGTATGAGAATTAGTATTGTTTAAACACTGCCAAGTCCAATAAAGCAAAAGTCCTCATATTTGGTGAATGCTGCACCAGCAAATACATTTTTCAGTCAATTCAATGAAAGAGGAAAAACCAAGACCACAAATTTGTGCAGAACAGTTTCATGGAAGTCTCTGCAGAAAACCCAAAGGAAAAAAAATTATTGTCTTGACTTTCAAATTCAGGATAAAGAAAAAGCAGCAACAAGTCATTAGGGTTATGACCAGCTAAACTCAATAAAAATGTCTGTAACCAACATATAAGTTAAACTCAGACAAATAACACGAAGGATAAACAAAACACAAATAACCACAAAATATCATAATCAAATTAAATCCACAAATGAACTGATTCATAGGTCTCTTTTGGGACATTGCAGTAAATGGGCAAAAGTTTACAAAACAAATATTGCACAAAAGCAGAAGCCCAAAAGCTGACTGCCAAAAGTTACAGAATCAAATAAAACAGTATTATTATGGGGAAACCATCATTCTCCCATCACCACCAACCTAAAAACCAAAGTACGTGCAAAATAAGGCTCATTCAACCCTTGGTGTCACTTGGATGCCCAACTGAACAACGACTGTCAAAATACACCACCTGTAATGTAAGGGGCTGACAGCAAATGAAGTAAAAAGTGCTTTTCTTGTGGGTGCAGTTTCTGGGGCAAGCAAAGGCAGTAGCTCCTAACTGAGAAACTGGAACTTCTGCAGGAAGTAATGCAGGAAGACTATTAAGTCCTTCAAAAAACATTCTAAAAGACAATGATGGTGCTTGCTGTTAAAAGAAACCCATTCTTTGATGAGGTTCGTCCTTCTGAACAACTGCATGGAAGATGTTATAAGAAATGCACACATGAAGAAGAAGGTAAGTTTTAAATTAGCTTTTACGTTAAATAAACCTGGAAACAGTTTCCAGTTTAATCTCTGCAAGGTGACAAGAACAAGTTGAACGACAGATCTGTGATGGCATCCTGTGAACACAGTCCTTCTTCTAATGAAAACCTTTAACATGTTTTCTTTAAACCGTACTATGTATTTATGTATTTGTGATTATATTCTTTGGTTAGACACACCACATAGTACTCTGACTATTTTATTCTCTGCTAGTTCTATGTTTCTGTCACTTACAGTATCACCTGAGGACTGTTAGACATTAATGTGAAAAACAAAGCCTGATATGACTAATCTCCTATAAAACTATAGGATGTTAAAATATCTTTATTACCTAGTTTATAAACAACTGAGACCAACAAAAGAGTGCACTATAAGGTTAATTGCTCTCATTAGTGTATTACCAAAACCATATGCTCTCTTCTAAATGTTAAGGCAAGCCATTATACTTCTGCACCTAAGACCCCACATTGACTTTCACTCTAGTGAATTCTCCTGTAGGAAGAAACGAAAGTTTCAGCTAGTCTTCCTGAAAGGTTTTGCTCTATATACACCACAATAACTAATACAAATAACAAATTCTTTAACATAAGCAATGTCAGAAAGTAACATTTGTGCCCATTATAGCACTGGAGCTGCACAAACCATTTCTTTTGATTTGCAATCTGTCCAGTTAGAATCAAATGCTAAATGAGTATGGTAAAAAAGGTAGTATTGTCCTTAAAAGACTATGGGTGTACTCATATTTTCAGGGAATACTCTCAAGTTTTTAACTGGTACTTTATCCATGGTTGCATCAATTCTTGTTTCTCCCCCTTCAGGAAAATGGTCCTTCTCTTAACTGTAATTCCTAGCAAATTGTGTGCAAAACACTCATGGATAACGGATGCACAATCTTTAAGACAGATAACCTGAGGTTGCTCCCTGTAATTGGCCGCCCAGCAGTTATTAGTTTTCCACTGATTCCTATGACTATGACAGCTTTTTTCCTACTCCTATGACAGCTTTAAAACCTATGGAAAATATCACTGCATGACAGAGTGAGAGGGGTATCTTGTTTATCAGAATGACATCATTAGTACATTTTTAGAAATGTTCCACTTTTAAACTACAAAAGTTGAAGCTCAGTAACACAAGAGAGGTCTCATTTTGTTGTTTATATGCACATAAGCTTCCTTGACATACTACAGCCGTAGAAAAGGCTTTTCCTTTGAATGATTAAATATACAGAGTAAGACCAACTACATTATAGTTTAAAAAAAACTTTTTATGGACAATCACAACTTCTTCCACAGTTTGAATTAATTTGGTAGCCTTTAGAAGCATCTATATCCAGATCTAATATAAACTATGGAATTGGATCAAAAATATACATGTGTAAAACATGTATTTTTCCAGTACGCCTTGGGCTAATTTTCAATATATTGTACAAACACTAATTGCCTTCTTTACACAGTTAATGTTTGAATCTTTCTTACAAGCTCCAGCTCATTGAAAAAACACATTGGTTGACTTTAGTTAAAGAGAACTTTTATGTTTGTGCAAATGATCTTCCTAAATGTCTTTGAAATTGAAGATACAGAGGAAATGAATCAAATTAATCAAGCAGCTTAGGGAATTTTACATTTGGGAGTTTGGACTTCAGCATGTGAGACTCGCAGAAAAACTGCCCAAGATTCTCAGTGGCTTATCTCATAAATGACTTCTAGTGTCTACATTAAAGTAACCTCACACAAATCTGTTCCCAAAACATGGGAATATAGGCAGCATAAGTAGGCAAACAGAAGACAACTGGTAGTGTGTAGGGTGGAGCGCTCTCTGGATGTCCTAGCAGAAAGAGAAAGGGAAGGGAAAGTAGGCAAATTGGTTCCAGAAACACAGTAAGAGACAAACATTATTGTTACAAATTGGATTCAGGAAAACAACACAAAGCATCTGCTCAGATCACTGGCTGGGACAAAACCCTACAAAGCTATCACAATTATTCAATAATCTATGTGTATAAAAACACTGTGCTGAGAACCATCCATTTTACTCATTTAACTTGAAAAGATTATTGGGTAGGAGACAAGTCTTGAGAGAACAGAAATACAGACAGGTATGTGACTGCTGAAAACCTTCCACAAGACACAAGAGCACTGCTGCATGCCAAATGCAAGGACACCTAGACTCACCTAAGTTTGCTGCTCCAATTTTGTGCCACTGATGGTCCAGCCTGGATATCTATCCAAGGTAAAGCAGACAGCCCCCAAATTGAGATTTCTGCAGCACCCAGCCCACACTTAGGGCTGTAATCTGAAAGAGGGAATTAATCTGAAAGGTTTCTCCAGCTGTGAGGACCAGGTCAGAGTGCTGCCTCCTCTTGCTTTCCTGTGATTTACCCCCTGAGGACTCTTGTCTCTTATTCTCTCAAGCTTCACTGAGTCTCGAAGGAGAGACAAAGCAACAGATCTGGTCCGTTACACCACACTCAAGGCTACACTGAAAACATCCATTGAAAACATAAAAGCAGCGCACTACACTACTATACAAAAATTGTCACGTTAGAATCGTAGAAACACAGAATCAACTAGGTTGGAAAAGACTTTTATGATCATCAAGCCCAGGACTGTCAAGCCCACCGCTAACCCATGTCACTAAGGGCAAACTGATCTCCCCTCATGGCTGCCCCACATGATTGCCAGTCACAGCCCCCCCTCATCTGCCCCCACAGTGGCCCCACACTGTATGGCTGCCGCCCCTACCCCTCGTGGCCATCCCTCATCTCCCCTCAAGGTCTCCCTTCATGGCCACCCCTTACTGCCCATGGCTGCCCCTAATCCCACCTCCCGATCTCCCCTCACAACTGCGCACCGAGTCCTCTCATGGTTTTCCCTCATGGCCACCCTGGCTCTCCCCTCACGATCTCCC